GCTCGCCGTTGCTCTCCATGGTGGCGCATCGCTGGCGGGGTTGCACGTTGAGTCCCAACCGTTCTAGGAGGTCGGTGCCTGCGATACACTCATGACACAACGCACTCGACACGTAGAACTCCTGCGTGCACACCTGGCTGCCTATGCGGACCTCTAGGGTGGCTCTCCCCAGCAGCCCCATTCCGGCTCCGCTCGCCGTGTGCAGCGCGCGGTCCGGTGCCTGCAGGTGACGCACGTCGACCCCGATCGCGCTGCAGTGCGCTGCGCTCACGAGCGAGGCCACCGCCCCCGTGTCCAGCAGGATTCGGGTACGCACTCCGTTTACCTCCCCTTCCACCAGCGACGTGGCCCCCGTGATCCCCGCCACCAGCTCCCGCAGCCAGTCGCCGGGAGTCACCGTTTCTGTGGGCGTTGTTGCTGGAACCTGTGTGGAGATCACTCGCTCGCCATTATTCTCACAGCTTGTTTGTGTCGGGGCTACGTCGATTTCACCCCCCGGTGGTCCCCTCTCTAGGGGGGCCTTAGTGTTTGACCTTAGCTCTTGTCCAGCTCGGGTGACCTGAGGACAGTCCCTCACTAGATGCCCTCGGCGATCGCACATATAACATGCCCGGGGAGGGGTGGCGGCTCCGTAGTGGGCTCTCTGCCCACTCCCTCCTCCCCCAGTGCGCTGCTGCTCATACTCTGCTTCTAGTCGCGCTATCCTTCCAGTTAGCCCTCCTACCGTGGAGTCTAGTTCCCCCATCTCGGATCGGATGGTCTCAACGGAGGATTGCAGTTGGGTCATATTTGTATTCGTTTCCTCGCGTACCTGGGTTACCTGGCCGGAGACATCCTTTATACCCGTTTGTATACCGGCAACCCATCCCGGGGTTGTCTCGCGGGACACTGGAGGCTCTCTTTCCCGGCCCCTTACCGTCCTCGCGAGCTCCTGTTCCTCCTCCTCGTCTTCCGAGAGCAGGCTCGCAATGACGCGCTCTCGTCCCAGCCCCCGGAGCTGCGCGCGTTCGCTGTGAATTCTTTCACACTTACGTGCGCGCTCGACAAGGGCGTTAAAGGGAAGACGTGGGCAGCTCATGTCTGGCTGCCACCACGCCGTGCGAGACAGGTACCGCTGGATTTTCTCAGCGGCCAGTTCCTCAATAACATCAGTTGCGTACCCCGAGCGTGCGATCTTTGTTAACTCGCGCACATCCTCGGCGTAATCACGTAGATCTTCGCCAGGTTGGCGACGGCGCGCCTCTAAGGCCGATTTTGCTTCCTCCTCGTCACGCGTGCCAAAACGCTGATCGAGTCGGCGCATCAGCTCCTCTAGCTGTGTCTGTGCGCTCGCGGGTAACGCTTCTACAAAATCGGCTGCCCACCCATCAAGATTCATATTAAGTTGACGTACTGCCTGCGCGTCCGTCCATCCATTAATTTCTTTGGCCCCTAAGAGATTGCGGGCGAATGCCTTCCACGAAGGGGCCCCCCGGCCGGTAAATATTAGTCTTATTTTAGCGTGAGGTAACGCGGGGGTCCGTACCGCTTCCGACACCAATTTGTGGGGGCCGTTGGCCCCCGGGGTCCCTCCCGCCTGCATCCCCTATTCCGTTTACGTTACCCCACCTCCCTATTACTCGCTACGGTTTCGCCGGCATTCGAATGCGACGCCCCTACTGTTACAGCCTCGCGCCGCGCTCCCACGCTGCGAGCATACGTGCGCACATCATCGTCAATCAAACGCCGTGCTCGCAGTATAGCCCTGTGCGGCACGTTACCAATGCGCATCCGTATCCGACATGTAACGAACGTATGCACACACACACACACGCCGCTCCGTGCACTCCAACTCCACACCAACTACGCAAGTTATGATCGCGCACCTGTATCACACACGGAGTGAACACACGCGACACCCACTCTTGCGCCGCTCTGCGCAGCGCTCGCCGTCTGCTGGCCGCTTGCGTTATGATCGCGCACCTGGGGTACGCCTATTACGCACGCCGCGAGCTTACGCACACACAGTACCACACTCGTTCCCACACGCAACCCGCGCGCTCAGCTCCGCGCAGCGCTCACTCACGTGGCGAACCATGGTGCACACAGCGCACCCACACGCTCACACCGCACGACAAGATCACGCGAGACCACGCTTCGCTATTAATGATTTATTATATGCTACCTGCGAATTGATGTGTAATCAGTGAGTCGACGAGGCTGGCCTATTCCACTAAACCTGTACCTATTCCCTATTTATCGGCTTACGATACCCTACTTCACCTCCCCACTCACTGTTTGGTGCCCGCGGAGGTTCGCTGCTCTCTGCGCTAACAGCGTACCTCGATGCGTCGCACGGACGTCCGGGTCGCTGGCTGGAAGTCCTGCTGGTCCGCTGGCCTGGAGAGAAGGGAGCTATTTTCCCTCTGCGCCCCTCTATTTATCCTCCCTACCTTCAAGGGGATGCTGCGCTAAACAATGGGCTCGCGATCCTCTGGCACGCGCACGGCGGTTCTGGGTGCTGTTGATATGCTAATCAGTGTGCCGCGTGCAAGGCGTAAATCCTACTTAATCCCTTACCCTCCCTAACAATGGGGCCTGCGCGCTCAAGCGCAATTATCCCAACCCCCCATGACTATGCGCAACAGCCCCTGTGACCCCGCTATTCATGCTGTCTCGTGCCTCCCCTGCTTGCCCCGTCGACTCGTGGGGGTGTGTGTGGGGGGAAATGCGCCTCAACCGCGGTGGCCGAATGCCCCACGCCGCGACCACACAATATTAAGGCCGGCAGCAGCGCCGCGGTACCACGTAGCACGGGGGAGGTCATCCAATTCCCTGATCGCCGGAAACCGTGAGAATTAATCCCGATAAGGGTCTCTCGGATAAAAACCGGTCGATCAGGTAACCTTCCCTTCCAGCTCTATGGGAGGGGGGGGGGATGCGTGCGGGTGTGTGCTTATGTGGGGCGGGTGATGGGGGGCAGTGCGGTGGGGGAAGCCGGGCGGCTCCCTGGCTCGGCAGAACGGCCCCGTCGCTGTGGCACCACATAATCCAATTTGCGTAATTGTATTGATTAGAGCATCACCAAGAAATGTGTTTTTAATTAAACCTGTAAAGATTTGTAGCCCTCATTAAAACACACATACAGGAGAACACACATACTGCCTGCCGATGTTAGCAGCTATTCTCGACTCTCTGAGTCACATTCACTAAAACAGCTTATCTCTCACCCTGACACCGATTATCTATGCCCCAACCCCCCTCTCTCTCCCCCCTCAACAGACCCCCCCCCCACCTTGTCTCACACGCAGCCCCCCCCCCCTTCTTATCTATGCACCACCACCTTTCTATTCTCTTGCCTCCGATCTCCCCCTTGTCTCACGCGCAGCAGTCGTTTATGACTCTTGGGGTACGCCCATGTCTACCCTTTAGAAGCAGCCTGCATCAGCAGCTTTGGGGCCGTCCATAAATGACGTCACGCGATTTTGAACGATTTTTTACCCCCCCCCTCTCGTCACACGGCGTCACAAAAAGTCAGACCCCCCCTCAAATATTACGTCACACAGCTCTGCCCCCCCCTCCCCAAAAAAATAAAACATGCTTCAAATCGCTTTAAACTATTGTCATTGTAGTGCGTATTTAATGTGGCGCTGCACTCTGATGTTGTAGGAGAAAACATTTATTAAAAAGTATATTTAATTAAGTAGAACGTGTTGTCTATATTTATTTAAAGTTGCGCATTTTGATGTGACGTCACATTTCTCAACCCCCCCCTAGGTGCGTGACGTCATTTATGGACGGCCCCTTTCCTCCTTCCTGATATAACCTCTTGTTGCAGCAGCTCTTTCTCCTTTGTCAGCATTTCCCCTGCTGTGTTGATCTCACCTGATGACGGCTGATTGTGTTGCGATCGAAACGTCGTGATCTATTATTTTCTACCTACGTGACTTTACCGAAAGAACCAAAGAGTATACAGTAGTTGCTGGACGATTGCATGTAATGTTGCTGGACGGTTGAATTACTTTCAATAATATTTCCCCCACAGCTACTGTAGGTGCATTATAGTTAAACGAAACATCTTTGCGAAAGATTTGCAGCAGAAACAAGTGGGCTTGGGCAGGACACATCACCTAAAAGAGATGATGGCTGATGGTGGAGACAAACGAGAGGGTGGGAACTAGACGGGGGAACATGCCCAATTACACGTCCACCCCAGAGATGGGGCAATGAATTCAACTCACGTGCTAGTGTTAGATGGATGGAGCATTGCAATACTATGAGCAATGGTGCAAGCTTGGGTGAGCTTCATCCAGCAGTAGGTAAATCATGGCTGGTGATGATAATAGTTCAAACTAAACATCCTGGTTAGCTTTATTTTGTTATCAACAGTTTATCCATAAACCAGTGATGAAAGTGTAGTCCTAAAAACATGTAATTTTAAAAGTTGAGGCTTCACATAGATATTTGTTGTCTATGATAACGTGTGAATGTTCAGTTAAAAGGAAATTCGGGATGATTACATTTCATAGAAAAAAATGTGTTTCTAGTGTTTAAAGTTCTCAATTCTTAAATCATGAGTTCTGAGTTGCCGTGACTGCCATTGATTTTGCTGGATATAAATGAATGAATTACCCAACATGCACCAAGAATTATTTTAGGTTTGATGAGCAAGCCAAAATGTATCTTATGAATGGAATTTCACATTGACGGGCCAAATTCATTGCACAGATAGTTTCATCAGGGTCAACCATTAACTGCTATCTATGGCTAGCCACAGACTTTTTGATAACCCTCTTATTTTGTAAAATCGATCCTACATCACAAGCAGCATCAAAGGGAGCAGAAGCTTCCAGGCAAAAGTCGTAATGCTGCAGATTAAATGAAAATACGATTAACTATAATGGGAGATTCGTGTTTTACTGTCACCCTTTTATGCCATATCATTTTACAGATGCAGCATATTTAGTGCAACAGTGGCAGCTGGTGGGTCACTTTTTAGTAGGGCGGTGGCCAAGGGGTGACAATCCCCATGCAAATGACCTTCTTGTTAATGGTCAGGGGTGTAAATATTGGCACACTTTCTGCTTAATTTTCTTCAGAGGGTGGCACTTTGTGGGAGTTCTTTAAATTGGCAAATGAGATTCTGAAATGTGCATCTCACTGGGGCAGACAAAGCAAGCACCTCATACTTTAAAATGTTAGTTTGATTCAATTTTAACCAATATGCAAAAACCGTAAGCAATGGTTTAAGTTACCCACGAGCTTTAACTATATTAAAACGTTTAATGGTTTCACAACTGTGTTAATATTTTATTTAAAAACATATAGGTTAATATTAGATGGGTTGCTACCCCAAAACTGCATACACACCAGCTGCCACTGCAGTGCAATGAAGTCACATTTTTTATCGTAAAAAATACGCTCACAGCATTATACAAAGTCACTTGTGTGTATATAATTACTGCAGTTACCTTTAAAGACATTTTAGGCACTCTGTGAAGAGTGCTGTAAAACGAAAAAACGAAAGAGACAACTACGTGTGCTTCATATTTTTTACTTATCCTTTTTGATTCGTTTACAAGGGCGATACGGTTGAACACACTCACAAGATATTAACAGAAGCCCAACGTTAGCCCCAAGCAGAACAGGTGACCAACATTACTTCTTCGGTGGCTCATACTGAATCAGACGCATGATCTCATCCTTGTCCTTGAGGCCCTGCACAAATTCACCTTCTGTCAGCTTATCTGGAGTCACACAGGATGAAAATAGAGTACATGCAGTCAAGTTAGGCACCTATTTTGTTTTAAGTTATCCATGTTACACGTCATGTTTTGCTGTTCACTTTTATTTATTTGTTTTAGGGAGGAGTGCAAAACATTTCCCATAAAGGTATGATGTCAGAACACAGGGAAAACAAAAACGGCACACTATACCGCATTACCGTGCGATGGTATGGGATGAACAGAGTACTGAGTGAGATGATTGTAAAAAACAGATAGGACACAGGGTGGAATTACTAATATAAGTAAGGTAAAGGGTGGAATGATTGTAAATTGTAGAGTAGAAGATGTGTTGATGAATTACCACCTTTGTCAGTTTTCCCAAAATGTTTCCAGATTTTGTCGGCGCGCTTATCGGGTGTGTTTTCATCATCCTTCAACAAGTGCACTTCTTCGGGAGGAATCATCTTGAAGATCGCCTGCAAATGTAATCAGCAATGACACTTTTCACCAAAGACGCAGGAGACACAAGTGAGAAATCTGTGTTTAATAAACCAGGTCTAATATGACACAATAGTTATACTCATCAAGACCTCTGGCAAGGCCGGGAACATTAATATATGTTTCGCTGCCCCTTGGTAAACCTAGTAAGTGTGAGATAACTGTATTTTTTTAACAATGTATTTCAAAGAGAAATAAAAACATTCACACTTATTGAGCCATTTTGATAGTCGAGAATCCATGGACCTCCTGTATCGTCGCAGGACGCCCATGAAATAGAACTGCTCATTGGGCCTTCCTGTTGAATTAAATCAATTAATGATACGTACATTGACCATGGCATTTTAACAAAGCATAACATTTAAATTCAGGTCCCAGCACCTCACTTCAAATCAATTCTATATTTACTCAAATATTTAATGATGAAAAGCTGGACCATTGATTTTCCTTTTTTACTTTTAAGTTCGGTTAGTATGTTGCGAGTGTCCAATTATCAAATGTATCTGAATACAATTCTCATTGAATTACAAGCCTTCATATTTAGTTTGCAAAAAAATATTTTCCCTGTTAGAATGTTTGTATTGTGTAATCTAAAACATTATATGAAGCTCAACCCGCTATCATTATGGGACTAATTAAGATGAATACAACTTTGTGAGAAATCAGAAATTGTGGATAAACCTGGTCCTATTATTTGGTTCTCTCGGTTAAGTCACGTCTAAAGATAAAATAATAAATAATAAATTAAATAATAGCATAATATGCTATTATTTAAATTATTATTTTATCTTTAGACGTGACTTAACCGAAAGAACCAAATAATAATTCCTGCAGTCACGAAAGTTCTAAAGATTAAACCTGGTCCTGGTCATAGAAATATGGAATTGACACCACTGGCTCTGCTCCACCAATGTAGTATCACAACAAATATTGGGTTTAAGTTTGACGATTTTGGCAACAGCAAAATAAAACGATAAAACTATTTTTATTTTACTCGGTAAGGCCCACTGAGATATATAGCTCTTTTTCAGAAGTGACCTGGCCACAAATGATAGCTCAACGAAGTGGCTTATCACGTGGAAATTTACAGCAGCGACTAAATACCCTAAACGCATGTTTCTAAATGTGGAGGAAATAAATGGAGGACCTGGAGAAAAATCCAAACGACCACAGGGAGAACATGCAATCTCCAAATATACAGGCGTCATGGTCGGGATGGATCCCAAGACCTCCTGTATACCAGGCGAGGTATAACATCTCGCCACCGTGGCGCCATACTCAAGAATGCACATCGAGCTCGATTCTCACTGTACCTTGACAATCTCCAGGATCTCGGACTTGTTGATGGTGCCATTACCATCTACGTCGTAGAGGGAAAAGGCCCACTCGAGCTTGAGCTGCGTCTTGCCGGACGACGTGAGGTGCAGCGCAATGATGTACTCCTTGAAGTCGAGTGTGCCGTCGCTGTTCTTGTCGAAGGAGCGGAACACGTGCTGGGCGTACACCTTGGGGTCGGCGTTCGGGAAGAAGCGCGCGTAGATTTTCTCGAAGCGCTCTCGCGAGATGCGTCCGTCGGGGCAGTCGCGCATGAAGGAGCTGTACCACTCGGTGAGCTCGTCCTCTGAGAACTTGGTGTTTAGCTTGATGTCCTCCAAGATCTCGCGGGACAGGGCACTGCTCTTGGTGTTCCCCATGGCTCTCAGGCTGTGCTCGTGCCTCGATGCCAGCAGACACCACCTGTAGCGCCCGTATGATGACTCTACTGACCCCTCCGGTTTACTCCTATGCTGATATAATCTTTCCAAATTTAGCCCTTAATGGTATTACAGGAAGGAAGCGGATTGTCCCGAAGATTAGTTTGGCAGTCTCGCCTGTTTAATGTCAAATAAGTGTATTGGTTAAGAAGCCAAGCTTTCTGACGCAGTGGACGACAGTCGAAAACAACTTGTATTCCCACCGTGTTTTTAAAATCACATTTTAAATGTAATATATTAGACAAACGATATGATGAGGCTGCATTACCAGTGGTTCACAAACACCACAGTTGGCTAATTTCGCGCCAGGGTTGAGTCGATATAGATTTTCACGATTGGCTACGTACGGTGCGAACAGAAGTACAACAAACGCTCAACACATTTGTCAATAACACTGCCAGATGTGCTATGAAGGACCATTACCCGAAACGTTACCTATGACTTACTAAGACGTTGTTATTGACGAATGTGAGGTTTTTTTTCTGTCTGATATGCATCTTTGTGTTAGGGGAGCCATGGCGCAGTGGTTCGCACACTGCACTTGGAACCCGGTGACCTATAATTACGTGGGTATTTGAACGAGTAAGTCATAGTGGGGGCCTGGTGGCGCAGTGGTTAGTAGCGCACCACAATATGAACCAAATACTGTATAGTATTTGACCCGATATACAATATTTGGCCGGTTTTTTTCACCAAGTGCTCCCTGCTGATCAACTATATTTTGGTGTACTGATTTATGTTGCTGTGTGGATAGAAATGGTCGAGATTTAAGAAACTTGCCCATTTCAACTGCCGTTTCTGGAGACCCAATGGGCAACCTCTGGCATTGCTTTGTATACAAATAAAAAGAGATAGAATACATTGCTTTTGAGCAGAGAATACGAACGTCAAATGTAGCTACGTTATCCATATTTAATAATCCAACCAGAATAAGCCTGCCACCCCCGCCTTGGGCAGCACTCACCACAGAGCGAAGGTACTGTTCCTAGGCTGGCGAGGTCCACGATGTCATGCTGCCATTTGTAGCAAGCTAAAGGCGTGGGTTTGTGGGCTGGTGAAGGAGAAGAAAATGTTGGCTGGAGATAACTCTGGAGCTGCTGTAGGTGTTATTGTTTTGTGTGGGTGTGGAAATTATTCACAGATACCAACAACTCGTACAACACAGCATAATAATAATTTAGTAAGGTCGGTATATGTGGCATTCATATCACGCAATACTATCACGCAGGCATTATGTTTCAAAAACATAGTTTAAAATACTTTCACATTAAGAGGTGATTTTACGGTGTGTAATCCAAATTTAGTCATTTGTAGGATTCGTTTTTCAAATTTGGACTGTAATTTCGACATACAATGGCCTCCTCTCTTCAAAATTAATTCATGGATCTTTAACGTCCACTGTAAAGCAGATGGCACATATCTTTGCGGTTAATACTACACCAAGCAAAGTGCAGTGAACGTGATATCGCTGGGCAATGTCACTGTTCCAAAGACAGCAAAAATAAATATAATAGCAGCATAGAAGAGTAGAGCAAAATATCCTCGAGGACTCTGAAGAGCTCTCGCATAGGCCCTTCTGACAGCAGTGGCATGAGCAAGCATTTTCACGGAGCCATAAGAGGATCCAGACTTATCAGGGACGCAAGGCCTGGACTTGTGCACAAAGAGGTGATCAGAGAGCGGCTTTCATTGCCTAATCGGTGTGTACACTGTTCACCCTTTGTCAGGAGTCATTTCCAAGCACTGCTGCGCCCGTCAGAAGCAGGCACATCAACGAGTTCCCTTCCCTGGCAAACGCCTGCGTAACTTCACATCACGAAAAAGGCATCACATGACTAGTTGTCATATCTGACCAAGCTATTGGGTTGTGTTATTTTTTCTTATCAATCATAAAATAGAACTTAGAACTGTGAACGTCAGGTTAATAAGTTCAAAAGGAGGGTTTGTTGGCACGATGACTGAGAAATTAGGTGGCATGAAGGCAAGTGTACATTGTGTAGCTGAGGCAGAGGGCATGCAAGGTGTTGAGTTGAAAGTGATACTATTGCATAAGCAATTTACTGTGGGGTAAGCAACCGAACAAATGTATATAGGAACTCAAGAGTGGATGCCCTATGCAGAGACTGGCCACCACCATAGGAAAGTTAATGTTTTTTAATCAGAGGCCCAGGACTGCCAATGGAAAAGAGCACCATCGCACAATCGTTTGAGCGTGGCAACACTTTGATATTGGACTTGATTGAATGTTTATGGACAAATGTTGGATATCACTACAAAGCACATGATTTAGGAGTTAATGTTTATTGCAGGTTTCTGTTGCCATTCCAAGAGTGAGGCCAGAGGGCTATGTGTTTACAAAGACTTGAAAATTATACAATTACGGTAAGTTTTTTTAGCATCTAACTACACTATTGCATGGCAGTCTGCCTTACATCTATGCTTTTTCTAAAAAGTCACGTTTACATATTTAGTGTAAATAACTTTTTTGTACAGTTTTCTGACCATATTTCGCGTGTGTTCATGCAAACTGATCTTGGAGAAAGGTGCAGTACTGTGTTTCTGTGCTGTGCTGAAACTAGCCAGGCCTGCCCATCTGCACCACGTTAGTGATTGTCTCACCACAAATATAACTAAAACTACGTGATATCTGAGGCCACTTTTATCTCCATATGTGAACCTTCATGCCCTCCCACCATTTCCAATGCAGCACTCAAGTGTTTTTTTTGCCTATCTTCCACCCTGAAATATATCCTTGCTGCTGTGAACAGTACAATAGAAATATTTCATCTTTGGAGATTTCCAAACTGAACAGCAGTCGACCTTTTACAGTATATGTAGCGGCCTTACCCTGAATGCTTTGATTTTCTCCCACGTGTATGTATTTATGTTAAACTTCTTTCGCATGCCGAAATGCTCATGGAATTGGCAAAAAACAATGCGTATCTCTCCTGAGTCTTGGGACTCAATCAGATCTTCTTGGGGAAATAAAGTGAAATATTATCACTTTATTGGATGCCGGGATGGTGTAGTGATTATGCGCAAAATAATTTATTTTTCACATTTGCACTGCGAGAATCTAATTCAATTTAGGATGCAGTACTGTCTGCTTTGTGACTTAACGCTTTCGTGACTGCAGGAATTCATATGATTTGGGTATTTCGGTAAAGTCACGTAGATAGGTTCAAAGAAAATAACAAAAACTACGACGTTTCGATCGCAACACAAGCGGTCGTAGTTTTTGTTATTTTCTTTGAACCTATCAACGTGACTTTACCGAAAGACCCAAAGAATATGTCTGCTTTTATTTTATTTCTAACCACTAGCATGTGTAGTGACTGACTCAGAGACACGAAAAGTAGGAGGCACTCTGTTTATTAACGGTCTTAACAGTTCACACACTTAGCAACTACGGTTCCCAGTCAGGACAGCTGGCAGACTGCCTGACTCACGACGCCGAGACGGTGAAGACGCAGACGGCGGTGAAGACCCCAGCAGCAGCAGCACGACGAGGGTCCCCCCCCCCCACTCCAAACGACAGCCCCGAGGTCCCCTCCCGGGGCCCCTCTTATACTGCCAGCGTGGCCTGGCCGGCCACGCCCCCCTTCTGGAACCTACCAGCAGGTTCTCGATCTGCCCCTTTCGTAACCTTTCCCCTACATCCCGCTGTCTGGTCTATCACGTGACCTACTGTCAGTCAGGGCTGCTGTAGTTGCAGATCCCCTCTCTACCAGCAACCAGCGCTATGCTGCTAAGTGACCGATTCTATGTCACTCAACATGTATCAGGAACAAACTCGGCTTATCATACCTTCAGCGTTGATGAGAACAGATGGCTCAAAGTCAACAGGGGCTGGACTGACCTCTGCCATGGATATGTGGAGTTTTCACTCCTGGTTCAGGGCTGATAAAGATGATAAACACTGCCCCATTTAAAAGTGGAGATATTTTGACTCGTCATTTTAGGTACGACCAAAATAAATTGTGGAACTCGAAGGGCTGCTATGCATCTATCACGACTCATTAGGTTGCACAAGAAGGGTTGCGATGACCTTTCCACCGCGCATTCAAACATTATAATAACATAACGAAGAAGCGTCAACCGACAGAGGGGACACAAGTCTTAGAGGGCATCCACTGAGAATATAAAGCAATAAATTTAGCTTATGTCCAGGCATTAGATGGATTCATACTTTTTGGTTTTTTCGGTAAAAGCACGTAGGTAATTTTTAAAATAATTATATTTTTTTACCTACGTGACTATACCGAAAAAACCAAAGAGTATGCATCCTTGCAGTCACAAAAACTTCAAATCTAGAATTAGATGGATTGTTGTATTGAAGGATCGTGGCATTTGTGATGGCTTTGGGAGGCCTGTATATATCAAGAAATAGATCATGTTCTTGGTTCTTTCGGTAAAGTCACGTAGAATGAAAATAATAAAATAATAAAAAATAAAACATAATAAAATAATTCTCACGACGTTTCGGCCACAACGCAAGCAGCCGTCCTCAGGTGGAGAACAGGTCTGTCGAGAAGACAGAGTCTGAATACCGAAAGAACCAAGAAGATGAATCCCTGCAATCACGAAAGCTTTAAATCGAAAAATAGATCATGGTTGTGATGATCGAGGGAACTTAATACTGAATGCAAATCTTCTTGGTTCTTTCGGTAAAGTCACGTAGAAGGGAAGTAATAAAATAATAAAAATTACTTCCCTTCTCCGTGACTTTACCGAAAGAACCAAGAAGATTAATCCCTGCAGTCACGAAAGCTTTAAATCGAAATTGAATGCAAATCGTTTGATGTCACACGTAAACAGCAAAGTTAACGCTACCATGGGCCAGAGATCAAATGGAACAGACGGCATTGTTTCCACATACTGGACTGACTCTGGCACTCTGCTTGCTCGTATACGCTCCAGTTAGCCACGTGTTGGTGATTAGGAGCGGAATGCCTTTGCAGGTACATCTCATTGATGTGGTGTGGAATGTTCTACCGCCCTGAACTCAGAACCACGAAGCAACCTTTGATGAGCATATTTCGCCACCGCGTGGCTGAATATAAACACTGCAGCATATATAATGCAAGTCACATGCAACCGCATCTCCAGACGTATCACGAAAAGAAAACAACATTTGATCTATATGCGTCTCATACCTGCCTATTTTATGACAGACCAATTCAGATCTTATTGGTCACCCCATTCCTTTATAAATATCAACGTTCATCTTACAAAGTCCCATCACAAGGGAGAAACACACATTTTTTTTGCCCGTATTGAAACGGCTGTACGCCATATGGACATGAAAACGCATGAATACGGGTAAACCGTATGGGTTCACAGCTATGGGATCTGAAGTCTTGACTTATACAATGGCACAGTCTCAATTGCACGAAGCTCAAGTGGATGAGAATTCCAGACAATGGGAGCCGAAGCCGAGAAGGAGCGATCACCCATGGAACAAAGGTTGACTGGGCTTTGGAAGGAGGAGGCCCTTATATTGCTGGATATGTGGAGAAATCCTCCAACTGTCCGCCTGATGATGCTCGTTGTAATTACTACCGAAACGTCGGACTCAGATTGTAAATGTTGTGGATTTGCTCTCCAACACACCGATGCTGTAGTGCTGTTACAAGTAACAAATTGGCACGTTCTGTTTACGTGACAAAAACCTTACTAAATCGACTGTGTCGGGTGGTGGCGGGTTTAACGACACACATTTATATTGACGCGATCTCACAACCCCCACCCCCTAGAGTTAAGGAGTCGTCACCACTGGACACGAAATCCTCCACGCGGCCACGCGTTCAACTTTGAATCCCCAAGAATCGCGCCCAGGTGCGTGACGTCACGCGGCGCACGCGCCCAGGTGCGTGACCTCACGCGGCGAACGCGCCCAGGTGCGTGACGTCACGCGGCGCACGCGCCCAGGTGCGTGACCTCACGCGGCGCACGCGCCCAGGTGCGTGACGTCACGCGGCGCACGCGCCCAGGTGCGTGACGTCACGCGGCGCACGCGCTCAGGTGCGTGACGTCACGCGGCGCACGCGCCCAGGTGCGTGACGTCACGCGGCGAACGCGCCCAGGTGCGTGACGTCATGCGGCGCACGCGCGCGCGGCGTGACGTCACGCGGCGTCTTCCACGTCGCTCAGCTGGGGTTGTCCCGTAGCCCCGCGCCGTGGCCGCTGTCGTCAAACTTTTAACAACAACAACGACGCGCAAAGGGATACAAAAAAAGCCACTGAGCAGGTAAATAAGGCGCGTCGCTTCTCTCTGTGCACCGTGCGTGCCGCGTTGCGTGCATTTTAACAAAGAAGGCGCTCGCGGAGCTGCGTGAAGGGGTCGGGCGGCCCTCTGTTGTCTACGGAGCCTCGGTCTTGCCTGGATGGACTGCCCCGGCGGTGTGGGGCCTCGCTACTCCCCATCGGCAGGGGGCAGACACTCTGTGCGGCGTCTGCGTGCAAATAGACATAATTGCGTCAGATCTCGGAAGCTAAGCAGGTTTATTATATAGCACGGTTGGTATTTTGATGGGAGACTGGGAATTCCAGGTGTCGTTGGCTTGGACCGCGAAATGGGCAGGAGAAAATGTCAATGCAGCGGTTGATTCTTGAATCTACGCGGAGTTGTGAATGTGTTTTTTATTCCGAACTTGCCCAGAATTTCTTCCTTGTCAAGTCAAACACGTATGAGGAATTGGCCAAACATCCCCAATGAAAGACAATCGTGAAACAGTATTGAGACCGAGAAGACGTGAATAAATATTCTACTATAAAGAGCATTGTTGATGTTTAGGAATCTATTAAAGCAGTGTTTTTCACTGTCGGCACCTGGTGGCCTTTAGTGCAGCCCCATCATGCTGTCAAACCAAAAGGGTTCAAATATGTGGCGGTCAACACACTAATTAATAATGTCTCATCGGCTAAAGTGGCCTCCCTACGAAAATTAGTGAAGGACACTGCATTAAAGTAAATCTGTATTTGTACTCATCTTCTTGGTTCTTTTGGTAAAGTCACGTAGAAGGGAAATAATAAAATAATAAAAATAAAACATAATAAAATAATTCTCACGACGTTTCGGCTACAACGCAAGCAGCCGTCTTCAGGTGAAGACGGCTGCTTCCCTTCTACGTGACTTTACCGAAAGAACCAAGAAGATAAATCCCTGCAGTCACGAAAGCTTTAAATCGAAATGTATTTGTACTGTCAACCATCGCTTGGCAGTACCGTCATTGATAATATAATCATTGGAAGTGTCGTCTTCCCTTGCCTCTTTGTACTGTTCATACTGAATTGTCTCGACTTTTAAGCCTCGTCCTTTGGGCGACGTTATTAATATTACAGAGTACTGCAAATATTGATATATGTTTGAAGGTGTGTTTGCCACTCTTTTCCTTAAAGACTCGTTCATGTTACATTCAAAAGAAGGTATTACACTGTAAAGTGCAAATTCCAACTGATAAATCTCTGTTCTTTTTGCTCTCAAGAATATGAGATGTGTGAAATATGTATTTGCCTTTTATATATTCTTTCTGTTAAACCCTGTGCATTAAAGTTTTTAGTTGCATTTGTAATATATGGTCATTCATATAAATTTGTGAATGCATTCATTTTTTTCAGAAATAAAGTATCAAACCCAAGTGCCAAAGTAAAGATTCACCTCAAAGACACATTCCAATGCAGTTTCTGCCATGAAGACATACTTTTGTTGTGGATACTCTACAAAGAAATGTAATGGTCAATAGAATAGTCCACACATTCTTGTTCCTTCATAAGTGAACCAAAACGCAATTGCATTCCTATATTTACAAGCCAGGATCGTGTACTACATTAATCGTTTTGCCTCGGTGCCAGTGAAAATGTTAACACCATCGCAGAGCTCGTCCGCTGGACCAGTCATGTGATTCGCCATCCTTGGAAGTGGGAAGAAAGCAAACGTGAAAAGCAGTGTGCTTGCGAAAATGGATTTTTCCAAGTTTCTGGAGGAGGACTTTGATGTGAAGGACTGGGTGAATGGAGCCTTCAAGGCTGCACAGAAGGAGGCTCCTGGCAAGGTGGACGGTCATGCGTCCACACTTGTCATGAAGTTACAGCTATTTATACAGGAGGTCAACAATTCTATTGAAGGTATTTGTTGCATGCTGAGGTCCAAGTGTACTTTTTACAAACCCTTTAAGTGCATGCATATAATATGGAACCTTTGCATTAGTAACAGAGTCAGAATCAGAGGGTGATGAGTTCAAATCCCACTGAAGTGGTTGACCCGGCCTATCATCCCTGTTAGGTCGGAAAATAAGTACTACTTAATGGGAAGTCAAAGTTTTTTTATGGAGATAACTTGGCCTCACCATATGAGGAATTTGCATCACTTGCTTAGGACTAACAAAGTTGAGAATCATCCATTCAGTATTGATAGACATTTTAACTTAGAAATTAAGTTGAATAGAATTTATTTTGAACTGCAGTGTTAGATCTAAAAAAAAGTGCAATATAAGTGTGATTTATTATTAATAGTATGATGCATTGAACTATTGTCTTGGATTATCTATTACCCTATAGAAAACCATAATGGTACTCTAAAGATGAATAGCTGCAGGCAGTTTACAGAATGCCACAGCACTTAAATCATGCGTGATTGTTTTGTGACTGTGAAATTGTAGCTATTGTGCCTTTATTCCTACAGAATGTGTTCGTTTCCATTTTATCTCCGTAAAAAATAGTTGTAATTTTGCTTCCATTAAAAGTTGCATTATGAATGGTGCTTCAAATCAAGAATGGTGTACTTCTGTTGCAGACATCAGTCAGCAGGCCGTACAAAACCTTCCGCGTGTGCTCAAGGATGTGGAGGCCGTGCGGCAGGAGGCCACATTTCTGAAGGAGCAAATGGCTCTGGTGAAAGAGGATATCCGCAAAGTGGAGCAGGACACGGCTCAGTCCATGCAGGTCTAACCATGCGTCTCTTCTACCGTTACGTGTCATACATAGTCATAAACCATATTCAATCCAGTGCTAGATGAAGGCCTGTCCCATCCATCGCCATTGATCATGGACCTGCAACGCAACAATACAGCTATCACCTGCATATTAACTGTATTCAGCGCTCCATCTCCGTGGTGGATGTCTCTGGCAAAAGTTCCCTCCTCTTTGGCTGCCGCTCAGTCCTTGGTCTCAACCAGCAGTCATCATCTGTTTTAGCAGCAGTCATCATCTGTTTTAGCAGCGTGTCCTACCAAAATTAATCTACTTTCATTCACGGTCATTGCACTGCTTCTAACTTGTGTGTGCTTTTTTTTACTGACTAATTATGAAAAGTAAAGTACTCATGTGTGTTTGTGGTTGTCAAGGTTCTCGTGGAAATTGACAAGGTGAAGTCACGGATGCAAGCTGCGGCAGAGGCCCTGCAGGAGGCTGACAAGTGGACCACGCTGAGTGCCGAGATTGAGGACGTTTATAAAACGCAGGTACGCTCCTGCAGTTGTAATTATGCCTCGTGTTTGTGTGAGTTATGCCACATTGGTGTTAGAACGTAGACTGGTTCTTGACAAGGAAATGCAAATGCAATACAGTTTGAATTATTATTATACCATCTGAATACGACTGCATCTCAGCATGGCGTACAGAAACCATGAACCTATTTATTTTTAGAGAGAGACAACCAAAGGAAAATATTGAACCTGGACATTAAGAGGGGTAGGGAGCCGACGGCACAGATTGCTGGGGGAAATTGATTCTGGACTTTAGGGGCAGTAGAGGATAGATTAGTGACCTCACATGGCAAAGGTTGACTTGGGGCTTTGAAAGAAGGCTTTGATTTCTGGAGCGGAGACTGCGTGGGAGCACAGTGAGATGCGAGTGGAGAGGTTGCAGAGAGCATGGGTAGTGGAATAGAGTGAGTGGAGAAAAGAGAGGCTGGAGAATTTTGAATTTCTACTACTGGCTCGGGGACCGCCAGCAGAGATGATCAACACTCGGAACACGTTTGAGTGGGAAGACAATTTGACTGGCTTTGTTGTATAATAACACTTCACAAAATGTTTTAAAGCTCCCCTTTCAGACTATCACAGTCTGTTGGGTTTAATGAGATGTCATTACTCTAGTGTCTTGCGATAGGTCGACGAGTTTGATGAGTTGTATTTTACGTGTGTTATTTGCGTTTGATTTAATTTGGACCATGCAGGATGTACAATTGATTGCCGGGAAGCTGACAGGCTTGCAGAGTAGCCTGGCCATGCTCGTGGACACCCCCAACTACTCCGAGAAGTGTGTGCACCTGGAGTCTCTCAAAAATCGCCTGGAAGCGCTGGCCAGCCCACATATTGTAACCGCCTTCACTTCTCAGTCTGTAGGTAAGTTTCATAGGCAGTGGATAAAAGACAATGCTTCTTTATGAACACTCACGAGGAAAATTGCTTCTTAGTCCTAACTATGACCAATTGGAGATATTTATAATCAACAGCCATAGGCAATCCACTGCTGTTTGAAGGCCTCTACAAGCTGCTGCCATCTTTCATGACCCTGCAATATAATCATCCATCGAGCACCTGCACACAATCTGATTTTTTGTCTCTCCATCTCCTTGGTCAATATCCTCCTAGATTTATTCGATCTGTTCCTTGGCTGCATACAATGAACAAGGGGTTTTATATGGAGACACCTTTGTTATAGGAATTTCCACTCCTACTTTAGGGCTGCCAAATAAATTGTCAATAATAGTTTTTCCACAGAAGCACTTTGAAAACAAAGTTGAATTCTAGAGATGGAATCAAATATTTCAAACTAGGAAGCCTAATTCGAGTTTTTTTTTAATCTTTTATTTCCTCCAGAACAATCGCACATGTTTGTGAATGTGTTTGGGGATATCGATCGGATGCCGCAGCTCCTCGCCTATTACTACAAGTGTCACAAAGTAAGAGCAAGATCATGAGCATTCATTAAACAATCTGGTTCATTTATCCAGTGCATATGTACCTGTCCATATCCAGAGTTAAAATGTGTTTAAAATCTATAATGAGGCTGACTCATGTTGTTGTAAATATGAAGTGATTGGCTGCAAATTAATATAATACCTGCAGTTGATTGTGTACTCTATTTGAAAGTTAAATGTACAGAGCTATCAGTTCACTTAAGTGTGAAATATATTCTGAAAAGCTACTTAGCTGCTATAATTAATATGTTTTTTATGCACATTTATGCTCGATACGTAACTTTTTTTTTGCATTATACCATTAATTCACCTCTTGTGAGCACTGCAAAAGTGAGCATATGTAAAACTGTGAGAATGGGGGGAACTGGAACAAATGTTGTATGCTGAGAAAAAGCAATACAATTCGTTTCTGGGTTGGGGTAGTGCCCTGTGTAATTTCCACAAGTTTGACGAGTTTGTTGAAATTGTTAGGAGCAGATGGTTCTTAAAGGGTCAGGCAGAATTTGTAACCTTTTGTTCCACATGTTCAAGCTTGGTGCAGTTGTCAGTGTGATGCTGTCTTGTTGGCAACAGAGCCAGCTGGTGTCTGGTGCCTGGAAGGATCTGACCCAGAGTGACATGGAGCCGGCACAACAGCTGCAAGAGTTCTTTGATGTCCTGCTGAGCACATGGCATTCCCAGGTTCAGTGGTGCAGCCAGGTGAGTGCATTTTAATTGCGGGTGCTGGAAAAAGTTTTGATAAAATCTGTGACACTAGTCCCACCTATGAATGTCATTTTCAAAAACTAAGTTTTTACTTCAGCTTTAAGATCCATTATCATTTGTCACTGTAGAGTGACGTTGGGCAAAGTGTTTACATAACATACTGTGTTAATGTGGAAGTCAACCCATGAGCATTGTCATCATATGGATAGTTCACAATGGTGTAATTTTTCTTACAATGGCTTATGACACATCTTCATACAGATCTGAATGCCACATAGTACCCCCGCTCCGACATACTGAGATAAAAACCACACAGGGCATCGTCAAGTTATTTGTTTCACCAGGTGAGAACTCAAGAGACCAGAATAGTCTGATTTGCCAGAGTGACCTGGGTCACGAAAAAGACCAAAGCAAACAAAGTACAGCAATGACGCAAATAGTAATAGGAACAACGGCAACTGTGTTCATGTTACAATTCGAATAAAATTACAGAAACATTAAAATTATATAGGGTGACTCTTGTACTAACAAGTAAACAGACAAGGATGTATGTTGTGTAGTGTCACAATTCATGAATTATAGTGGCAACCAAATTCAATGGCCAAGCAGAAGACAACATTAGTGGTCGTGTGTTGACTGTACACCAGTGGGATCTAGCAGAAGGAAGGAAGTAAATGCAAGGTTTGATGGCATCAACAACATTGCTCATTATGAATGTAGATCTTAAATTTGTAATTCAACCGATTGTTTACATCGCAAAATGTATTTGGTTTTCTTGAGTCAGTGATGCTAATATATTGCAAAAAATTTGCGATGTAGGTAGCATATACGTTTAAAATGTAACTGTAAACTGCTGTACATGGTATTGTTGGGCATGTGTTTAAAGCACAAAATCACACAGAGTGGGTCGCTGTGTGGTGCAAATTCCACATTTTCTGCATACAAAGGCCACTCTTGATTTCCCAGTAAGTGGTACTTGCATAAAAACCCTGCTTGGAAGGTAATGGCTCAAATCGACCTCCCACCGGGATTTGAACTCACAGACCTTCCTATCACGCGTTGAGCACTCTGACCACAGATGTGCTCGGGCTAACAATCTGAAGTAGGACACTTGAAAAATGTGGAAGTGACCCATGGTGCCTCGTGATGCCTTTCCCCCAGGTGTTCCGGAAGCCTTACGAGGTGGTGACGATCCTGCTGATCCAGACGCTGGGAGCAACCGTACCCTCGATCCCAGAGCGTGTGCGAGCCACCGTTGACGCGGCCCCTGCTGAAGCCAGGCTCTGTGTGCTGCTGGAGCTTTACGAGATCACCGTACACTTCGCCCGGGGACTCGAGGCAGCTATGGTGCCTCACTTGGGTAATGATGCAACCACAAATGGCCCAATGTGCCGTTAACCCACGACCACCCGATAAAGCCAATTAGTAAGGTTTGTCACGTAAAAAAAACGTGCCATTTAGTTACTACTTCAGCACACCGTTGTGTTGGATAGCAAACCCACGACATTTACAACGCTTGCAATCGTAATTGGCTGTGTCAGGTGGTGGTGGGTTAATAACATTTATATTTATGCAATCTAACCCAAAAAAACCTCTTTTGCAGATGAGATGAACCTCTTGAAGCTGGGAGAGCTGGTGGAGGCCGTTTACAAGCCATACCAGCAGTACCAACTGGACTACGGAGATCTGGAGGAGCACAACCTGCTCATTCAACTCAGTGCCGTCCCATTGGTGCGTATTGCATTCGACCGGTGTCATCCTTTGAGGTTGATTTTAGAATTGAAAACCAAAATAGGATTATCATTCTGATATTACTGGAAAAAATACTTGTGAGGGTAAGCATGTACATGTACAGACCCTTTTGTCTTTCTCGGGTGTCCTCATCCAGTGCGGGGTCATGAGAGTAATTTTGCCATAATTTACGACGTCAGTGCAGTTTGGTGGAAATGGGGAGCATAGAGGTAGAAACATAAGGTCTGAGTAAAGCTATGCATTTTGCTGTACTGCCCTGTGCTGCTCACCACGTAGCCCTACATACCTCGGAGAACCCGTTTGTGCCAGGTGGACACCCATCCAAGCACAATCCAGGCAACTCCCGACTAAGTTTCCAACCTAAGGCAAGATTCATGTGCATTCCGGGTGATTTGCTTTTCGGCCAGATTTCGTAGAACGTTTTAAATGTGAAGACTTTGGTCAGGACTTGGTCACGCGGTTGTTTTCACTGGTGTAATTGGATGTTTGCGATGGATATTCTCACGGACAGGAGCGAGGAGACCTCATCGACTGCGTGCAGGAGATGAGCCAATCGGTGAACAAGCTTTTTACCCTGGCCTCTTCTTCGGCCGAGCGGTGCATCAAGCTTACAGATGGGCTTGGTGTTTGCGGGCTTCTCCGGGCTCTCAGGGCACTCTTTTCCAAGTAAGGATCTTCTTCTTCCCATTCAGCCCGTTTATGGCGACCGTTGTTGTCCACAAGCTCCCGGCAACAGTCCTCCATTGTTTGCGATAATTGTGAGATACCATCTATTGCTGAAGTTTCCATATCATTCCTCTCCATTCTAGTGTGGCCTATTATAATGATTATAATTTTCTCAGTCGTCCTCTGCGTGTGCGTTACACATCCAAGCGGGAATGTGGTACATTGAAGGCCATGCATAGGCAAGTAAACAAAACAACAGCAACAACTATAATTTATAAAGTGCTAAATCACGTAACCAAATGTCTCGGAATGCCACAATGGATTATGGCAATGGTTGCCAAATAAGTTTGTTTGGTAATACATTTCAGTTGTCCAAAATTTGGACAAATCTGATCGCATGACTACAAAAGATTGTTGTGTGCATTCTAGAAAAATCGTTGTTCATCACACTTTTCGTTGGCTGGACATAGGGGTCGGCACGGTTTGAACCGACTCAAACTGGTTTCAAATTGAGCAAACCAAACCAAACCAGCGACGACTGAACCAAACCAAACCAAAACCAAACCAAACTAAGCTAAACCAAACCTCTTGAGTTGGCTTGAACCGAAAAGATGCGCGGCAAACAATATTCGCATTCAATACAAATATCAAGTGTATTAATCGCTGATTTCTATGCAGGCTTTCTTCATATTGACATTCACTAGCAAGTACTGGACGACGATGTCGTCCACAGCCATCTCCTCAAGCTTGGCACGCCCAATGTCCTTGAACGCAGTGTGGTAGTTCAATGGCAGTGAAACCCCAACACTAGGCAACATCCGCGCCCACGAGCGCACACACATCTCGGCCTTGAACGTGCACTTGTGCAGGTTTGGTCGGTCGAGAAAGGAGCGCTTGGCGGCCGAGTTTGCTCTCTCGGAGGGCACGGACGACGCCGGGATAGGCAAATAGTCGAGGGCCACGCGTCGTAGGCGCGGGTACTTGCCGCCGTACAGCTTCCACCACTCGACGACGTCCATGCTCAGGTCCTGAGTCGGCTCAAGCAGGAAGCGGTCGACCTTGGAGGCGGCGCCGTCGTGAGCGTTGGGCGCGTAGACCATGTCAAAGAGGATGTTAATGCCGCCACGCGGCGCCGCCTTCGGCGCCGCCATCATGTCCTTGATATTGCTGTACTCGGTGCTCGAGGCCGCGGGCTTGGGGTGGCGCAGGTCGAGAAAGCGGGCGACGCGGCTTGGTTCGGACGAGAGAAGGTCGCTGTACTTGACCATGTAGTCGGAGATGGTCACGGCGGCCGAGCTCACGACCACATGAGGACTCGGGCGGTGGGTCATGCAGTGGCTCAAGAGAGCCTCCTGCGCCGTGATGGCGTTCGAGATGGTGCAGTACTCCTCGGCACCCATGGCATCGGAGATGGCCGCCGGCTTCTCCAAGAACTGGCAGAGCAGCGCCGCCTGCTCCCACTGCTCGTCCGACAAGCCGGCCTGGCTCCGCGACCAGCCGGGCTCAAGGCAGATGGCGTCGATCACTTGGCGCTGCCTTAGCGACGCCGTGAGCATCACGTACGTGCTACCCCAACGTGTGACCACGTCGAGGCAAGGCGGCTGCAGCGGGCACTTGAGGTAGTGCCGCGCGAGCGACGTGTAGGCCGCCCTCTTCGTCTTGGTCTTGTGGATAGCGCCGAGCGTCGCGCGGAGGCTGCGCAGCAGTGTCTCGAACGCGCCGAATGAGGCCTTGACGCCGAGGTTGACGCAGTGCGCGATGCACCGCAAGCAGCACGTCGAGCGCAGGTTGCTCCCCTCGAGGAGCGTGAGGGACTTGGCGGATGCGACGGCGTCAGAACCGCTGTCGGTGACGACGGCGAGCAGGCGCGGCCACACGCCAAAGTCGTCGAGCAGCTCGTGCAGGCGCTGCGCCATGCGCTTGCCCACGCCTTCGCCCGGGGCCACCCAAAAGAAGTCAATGATGCAGTTGCACATGGAGAACGACGCCGGGTCCATCCAGTGGAGGGTGACCGAGAAGAAGCCGGTCATGGCGTCGTTTGTCCAACCGTCGTAGGTCAAGGAGACGCAAGAGCCAAAAGTAGTAAAGTACTGTAGCACGAGTAGCTTGAGGACGACATACATCTCGAGCATGCGGCGCTTGACCGTGCGCTCAGACTTGGGCTCGTAACCTGGGGCAGCTCGTTGAAGAAGAGTCGTAAAGGGATCCGATGTTACGTGTTTATTGCCTAGACCACTCGTCGCGATGTACTCGGCGACAAAGCTGTCCATGGCCTTGCTCGCGTGCGCTGACATGGGCGTGGCCATCTTGGACTGCACGAGCAAACCCTTCCCCGTCGGCGGCGACGTGACGACCGTGGGCGACTCGGGGTCGACGATCCCATGGGTCTTGAGATGCTTGATACGGGTGCCCGAGGAGGTGGAGCCCGCGTACTGGAGGGTGCAGATCTTGCAGGTCCGGCTCTGCACGTCGCCCGCGGCCTGGCTCGTCTCAAAGTACTCGTCGTGCCACAGCGCTCGGGACACACGGGCCTTCTTGGGCTTGGGCTGCGTCGCGGTCTGCAGCGCTGCGGCGCCGAGGGTGCGCATGAGGCTCTGCCGCGTGTCGCCGCGCGTGGCGTCCGGGCTCTCACGTTCGCTCGCCATCGGCTCCTCGTCGCTACCGGCGTGTTTGGTCTCTTCCACGTCGTGGATGAGATACCTTGTGATGCTGGAGCCGCCGGGGATGGCGCCGTCTTGAGCCGCTCGAGCCATGGAGATGCAATTGCAAAGTGAATTCGCAGGCAAAGGCAACTACAGCATGTCCTTTCGTGTCGCCTTTACAACCAACCAAACTAGTTTGAGCCGGTTCCACCCTGTCCGAGCCAAACCGAGTCGGTTTTCGTAGCCCCAAACCAAACCGAACCAGTTCAAACAGAACCAAACCGATTTGGTTCGGTTCAAACCGCGGTTTGGTGGTTTGAGCCAAACCGTGCCGACCCCTAGCTGGACACAACTCCATAACTCTATGCCATTGCTAATAGTAAACGCGTTGCCGGGTAGCAGTTGGTGATGATGACTGCCAAAAAGTTGCCCTCAAGGGTGCAGAGTGACTACTGTCGACACACTGCCACATAGTGAATGTTTATATTAGGTAATTAACGATGGATGCATACATTCATCTATTAAAATTGGTCGTTGCACCTGCGGTATATGCATCAAATTTGGTGCTTAAGAATCAATTATGTACAATTTACGCAAATTGTGCACTCGGCATGAATCTACGTTTAGGGTAACGGAGCATATGAGACAGAACAGCATATATCATGTTGTTAAATAAGACGAAACAGTAATTTCTTGGATCATGACCCTAAATTATAACTATTCCTCAAATCTCTGCGTAGGTAAATAATTTTATGCCAAACATTCAGGCAACTGGGCCAACGCAGTTCTATATAAATGGTCACGTCGATATTGGTTTACAATACAAAAAGCTAGTCACTTTAATCAATTACATTATCTAAAATAAAATAAAAATCTGTTTTGAGTCCATTTTATTTGTATTTTTTTTACTTACAATCAAAAGCCTGTTCGTTATTTTATTACATTCATACAATATGTAGTAGTTTTTTTTCCTCTATAAACGTTTCAAATTATGTATATTTTGTTCAGCCTTTTATTTTTAATGTATGATAAAAGAAAACTATGTTGATTTGGTAACAACTTTTCACGGTTGCTCAAGTGTGTTTTTTTTGTCTACTTCATGTTGTGCAGTGGCTCATTAAACAACTTAAAAATGTGACAACTAAAACAACAGGCAGCTGAAAATTAAACGTTCACTTTTGTCATTATTTTGCATAGTTGCTTTGTTTATCAAAACGTATCAATTGGTTTAATTAAAGTTTAACACGTAGGCTTTCGCGACCAATATTATTCATAATAAACGTTTTTGGGTTGGTAAAAAAAGGTGTCAGTTTTGTTGCCAGATAAAAGGGTAAAAAAAACAATTATCATATTTTTCTACTGGCAAGTGAGGTTCGATCGCATTATTTGTAAATGGGGTTAGATCGCATTATTTTTGGGTTAGATCGCATTATTTGTAAATGTGTCGTAATCCTCCACCCCCCTCCCCCACACGGCCAATCAGAAAAAAGTGTCACGTTGGCAAAAGACAAATAGTTCACTACTTTAGCCCACCGGTGTGTTTAAGCGTGAAACCACAACATTTACAATGTTTGAGTACGACGTTTCGCTGGTAATTGCATCCAGCATCATCGGGAAATTCGCCAGAATGGTGAGGCTCTGCTCTTGCTCCCGGTCTTAAACAGAGCAGCAGCAGCAGCAGCAGGGTGACGTCATCATTTAACTCATCATGGTTTAATTAATAAAATATATCACATTAAAATAGTACCATTCGCCTCTTGTCATGAGATGAAGAAAAGTTAATTTGGAACGTTCACAAAGAGCATGGGAGCATCACACCGTGTCAGAAATTACTTTGAAAGATGACTTGATGATGTCACCTATGATGTCACTTACCAGCCTCTAATTATAGGACACTAGATGATGTATCTTTGTGCGCCTGGAAGATATTGATAATTGAAAAAAAATGTAGGTCCCACAGCAGGAATAAGCCGAACTAGGTGAAAAGTTTAATGTTGTGTCTTTTTGTGCAATTATTAATAACCGGGCAGAGATGAACTTACTACACTTGAGAACCCGGTTTAACCACAGGTGGATGAGGCGTGGATTGAAACTCAAGATCTCAGTGCTGTCACTTCACGACTGACACAGTCCTTAGTCCCCCCCCACCCACAAGCCACCAGACCACCTCATTGTGTTGTTATTTTTACACGCTTTTATTTAACTCACTCTGTCTGTTGTATCCTCAACTCTGTTGTCGTATCCTCAAATCTTGTAACAAAATTTTAACCCACTTCCCAATATGGTATCGACTGCAAACTTGGTATACTTATGTCATTGATGACAATACTATATTCTATCATAAAAAAATAAATAAATAACATTTAAACCGTCTTTTTTACATGTTATGTTTCGCCTTGGCTCTAATTGTCCACGCTCAATTCACGTTGGCTGTAAATCACCACGGCCCCTTACGTTATGGCAAGCCTCGGGGCCACTTCCTGGAGTCGTGGAGTTCTGCCATTACTCGTACGGTACATTTAATTAAAGTGTGTTTTTACAAAAGTATTTTTTAATATTATTTATTTACTCCTGTGGTTGAAGATGAAGACACAAGGTTTGCTGTGATGAAGTTAATCAGCTGGGGAGAGAGAATTGCGCATTGACATTATCTCCCAGGCATTAACAATAATATGACGGGGCCTGTGTGTAGGTATGTGTCGGATTTTTCCGGCACGCTCCAGTCCATCCGGAAGAAATGTCGTTTAAATGAGCAGGTGATTGGAGCTCAATTCCAAGAGGATTGGACAGCCTTTCAAAACTCCATACGGTGAGCCCTTCCCGCAGCCTCAGCTAATTATTTTAGACATGCCTCTGAATGTGTTTGTGGAGCCATTTTGACTGCCACTTGCAAGGAATACTGCGCTGTATTTTTGGAATTTTCTGACTACTTTGAGCTCACACAATTTCAGTGCAGCTGCCTAACCTATGTATTACATAGTTATTGCTTTTTTAGTGTTTTCATTAGTGTTTTGTACTCCTAAATAATAAAGAGATGTGATTGGTTGTAGTTTTCATGGGATGTTGAGGCTTATGTATCACAATAACCGCAAACGGTTATAAATAAGTTCTATACGACATTTAAAAAACCGGTTTTTTATATTGTGCTGACTTCCAGAATCATAGCAACGTGTGGAGAGCTGCTGAGGCAGTGTGCCGATCATGAGCAACAGCTCGTCAGCAAGTGAGTGACTGTTTTGCGGCACATTACATTGGTCTAACCCCCAGATATTACGTGCTTTACAGAGACCATCTTTCCCTCACCTCCGAATAGCACGGTTGGCTATGTATGGTGCGAAAAAAGTTCAACATACATAAACTTTGAGAACCTGGATTGCACGCTACATGGCTGAAAGTCGCTGCATGTATTTCAATGAAATCAATATACAGCATTAGTATAAAAAAATCTATCAACAAAGTAGAAGCGAGCTGTAAGCACCCCCTGTGGGAGTAAGACCAGATGTTCTTCTATCCAAAGTTTGCTTGTATTTTGAGATTCCCTGTTGCTACCACATCCCACCAATGTAATGTAATTATGTGCTGCTTATTTCAGAAATATGCTCATATAATGTGTATTTATAACCAGCTTACACTATAAAGCTATTGTAGACACATGAACATGTAGGATTGAATGTCTAGTAAATACGCAAAAGTCTGATTGCGCTGCCAACAAAATTCTACGTTGGTTTAGGTGATGATATCGTGCACGACTTTGTGATTGCGTGATAAGCGTAAGACTTGTGCCAAGTCATTCAAGTAGTTTCCTAAAAAGCGAGTCATTCGCTTGTTGAACAGTTGACTAGTCCATCTCATGAAATAACATACATTATTTTGGTAGAATAATGACTCAAGTGGTAATATCATACGTGGGTTTGTGATTGCACGAGAGACATAAGACTGCGGGTTCACTCCCTTATTTTCATAAATAGTAATTTCTTTATTCTTAGGTTTTTCGGTAAAGTCACGTAGGTAAAAAATTAAAATTGCTTGCCGAACAGTGAAGCTTTTATTTTTCGATTTAAAGCTTTCATGACTGCAGGGATTCATATTCTTGGTTCTTTCGGGTAAAGTCACGTAGAAGGGAAATAATAAAATAATAAAAATACAACAATAAAATTCGTTTGCTTGTGTTGTGGCCGAAACGTCGTGAGAATTTTATCATATTATGTTAAATTTTTATTAATTTATTTCCCTTCTACGAGAATTTACCGAAAGAACCAAGAATATGAACGGTGAAGCGTCCGCCTCGTGAGTTATAAACACGCATGCTGCGTTGCGTTCTTCGGTAGAATCATGACGATGGCTGGCAAGTACTTGTCGGAGAGCTACAGCCCTTGCAGCCTCGCAAGTCTGGCGGAGAGCAGCCCCGTGGAGCGCAGGCCCGGCGGCAAGAACCCATGGCAGGACTACAACTACCTCGTCCGTGGCAGCTCCCCCGACTACGCCCGCCTCATGGAGCTGCTCTTCACCCTGAAGGTGCCAGGCAGCCGCGGCATCGCACCCGGCGTGAAACCCGTCAGCGGGCTCGCGCCCATGAGCTTTTACCGCAGATTTCGTTTCAAATGTTTGAGGTGAGATGCTGAGGCATTTAAGCAACGCCGCATGAATGCATATGGTCTTTTCTTTACTGCTGGATGAGGGTCTCCTAACACTTGTGCAGGTCATGGGAGTTATTTGACCATCTGTGAAAAAAAAGCTTCATAGCTCATTGGATTTCTCCGGAATAAATAAATATTTTGATAATTCGCCACACTTGTCAGTGCGGATTCAAAAAGGTGTGACGCGTGGATGAGGGAGCATAGAATTATGTGGATTGTTGTGCACAGTCCTCTGCTGCTCGCACCGCAGCCTCTAACACTTATTAGCCCATGCAAGCACTATTCAGAACCAATCCTGCTTAACTTAAGATAATTTATGATCAGGAGCTTTCAAAACTGTTTTGGCTGAATTACGTCGTTATCCCATCACAGGAGAATTGCGGTTGGGTGATGGGTGAAAAAGTGCAGTGGTTTTTTTTGCACTAGTGTCCTTTTGCAGTCGCAACGTTTAATAGCGCAAATCTGCGCTCACTATCTTATCTTTAAATTATTTATATAGCGCCTTATCCAAGGCACTTTACACAGTATTAACAATAGTACATATGAGTGTGATCGTGGAGATGAGGTGAATGAAATATGAGAGGAAGCAATGGGGCAAATCTGTGATGTGTGAATTCTGCTGGTAGCGAAATTGATGAAAGTAAATTATGATGAATAGATTGAATGAATGGGGAATGAGTGAAAGCCATATGATGATCTGAAGAGGGAAAAGTAACATTGGTGTTTATGAGGGGGAGATTAAGGAGTCATGGGGTGAGCTATAGAAAATAAGTGCATTTTTAGTGCGGAGCAGAAACTACTGAGCGTAGGTGACTGGTTAATGTGGATGGGAAGTTTGTTCCAGCATGTCTAAGGCACTGACTCAAAGCAATGCAGCATTGGTTTATTTTTATTGGGGGAAAAAAAGTAACTTAAACACGCAAAAAAATACATCATCTTCGTTTCTCCATTACTTCATTCGCATTACTTTTTCTTTTCGCCTCCTTCATTCCATCCCAAACGACAAACGAAACTCGACCTGCATTAATTTAAATGAAAATCGAGTGTCCCCCTATGTCCGCAATATTTTGGTTGCTTCGACTGTCACCGTGACATGCAGCGTTCGTTTCTCGCGTATCCCGTCTCACCTGGCAGTTTTTTGACGTGCAAAAAACCTGATACGCCGCTGAGCACACGTGCATAAAAGAACTGGCTCGGTGGTTTCGTCTTACCACGGGCGTGCGTGTCCGTTTGGCATCGTCATTGCAGGAGAAGGGCGCGGGGGGCAGTAACCTGCTGGTGGAGTGCAAGACGGCACTGTCGCGCCTCAACCAGCAGGCTCACCAGCTGGCCTTCGACGCCGTCTTCCTGTGCATCCAGCAGCAGCTGAGCTTGGTGCCACGCATGGAGGTTCTGAGATTCCCCCTTTTTTTAATGGAATTGTCTGTTGCGTTGTAAAGTCATGAATTAAATGTTTTCATCAAACAAATTACGTGACCGCAGAAGCACAATTGGGAGGTGGTGGTGGGGGTGGAAAACTACAAATTGAAAAATGCCTCCATTGGAAAACAGACCTTTTCTGTCATTGGGCTCTAATCTGGTAAATGTAACCCGTTGGTTGATGTGACCATTAAGTGTGTCATCTGCATTTTTTATTCTGAGCCAATGATAAACATTCCACAGTCCTGTGGTAGGGGCCAGTCTTTCCTTAAAGGAGCACTATGTCTTTTTGATTCAATTATTTTAAAGATGGGCAACTAACCATGCAATTATGTGTTTAGGAAACTAAATACTGCCTGCAAGAGAGACATATTTGGTGATGGCTTTTAAGTTATATTCTTTGGTTCTTTCGGTAATTGCTGCAGTCACGAAAGTTTAAAGGCAAGTAAAATACTTTTTCATGAAAATGAAGGCTGCTGTACAGTAGATGCCTCTGACCAGATTAACCCCATTTAATCTGATCTCGTCATATCTCAGAAACTAAGCTGGATAGTGCTTGAATGCATGACAATTCTGCATTAAAGCAGGTATTTTAGACTGCTGCAGGGCTACCTTGTCAGTAGAGGGCAGTGGAGCAAAATGCATATTTCTACTGGACTATGCCCGTTAGTCTGTGCTCATCTCAGAAGCTAAGCTTAGCCTGGGTAGTGCTTGACTGCATGACGACCATACATTCAACAGGTATTGTAGACTGCTGCAGGGCTACGTTGTCAGCAAGGAGCAGTGGAGCAATATCCATATTTCTACTGGACTATGCCCGTTAGTCTGTGCTCATCTCAGAAGCTAAGCTTAGCCTGGGTAGTGCTTGACTGCATGACGACCATACATTCAACAGGTATTGTAGACTGCTGCAGGGCTACGTTGTCAGCAAGGAGCAGTGGAGCAATATCCATATTTCTACTGGACTATGCCCGTTAGTCTGTGCTCATCTCAGAAGCTAAGCTTAGCCTGGGTAGTGCTTGACTGCATGACGACCATACATTCAACAGGTATTGTAGACTGCTGCAGGGCTACGTTGTCAGCAAGGAGCAGTGGAGCAATATCCATATTTCTACTGGACTATGCCCGTTAGTCTGTGCTCATCTCAGAAGCTAAGCTTAGCCTGGGTAGTGCTTGACTGCATGACGACCATACATTCAACAGGTATTGTAGACTGCTGCAGGGCTACGTTGTCAGCAAGGAGCAGTGGAGCAATATCCATATTTCTACTGGACAATGCACGTTAGTCTTTGCTCCCTGCCTTCACTAACACGCGGTGAATGGCCAGCAAGGTAAATTACGGCCAAATAACCCCCGTGACCAGCTTGGCATGGAGGGGCCCTCATCCAGCAGTGTGGTGACCAAAGGGCCGGTACGTGTATGGCAGATGGCTGAGGTTTGTCCGGGAGCCTGTATTAACGGGGAATGTTTTCTACACAGGTATGGAGCAGCGGCTCGGGAGCAGAAGTGCTTACAGATGACCTGCCAACATTCGGCTTGTCACCCTTTGAATACATAACCAATGTAAGTTTTATTCATAAGACATCCATACCAATCTCTGCTGCTGGTATGCATAAAGTAGTTGAATTTAATTATTCACATATATTGAGACAATTTTTTTGCACGTCCAAGCCATATTAATCATCCTTGGTAAAGTTTCGGAAATGTGAGTGTCTCTCCTTTAAAGGCACATTTGGGCATTGGGCAGTGCTTCTCAGTGGTTTGGAGCTGGGAGTAAAAAATCATACATTGCTATGTGGCAGACCATTCTCTCCATTGGACTCCCACTGCTGACTTCCCCCAAGAGACGATGGGCCAAATTAACACCCGACCAAGAGTTAAAATTTGCGACTTTCTGAGTGTGAATGTACAGAAAGTACAATTTATTTTTTCAACAAAGGGCTTCTCTCTTCTATGAAAGAGGATTTATTAACATGACTGTAAGGAAAGAAGCGCGTCTTGAGAGGCCGTCTACCGAGGATATGGAGCGATGAAATCGGCTCGTGTGCAAATTCCCGGTGGATTATTAAATTGTAGGATGGGATTGGGGAGGCCTTCAGCCAGTAGTGGTTTGACAAACGGGCTACATGTATACAAGTGATTGGACGAGCGGGTGAATGCGTTCTGTTAAGATGAGAGAACCGACGGTGTCTTAACGACTGTTTGATCACTGCTCTTGAGGTGCCGCCCATCCTTATTGAACCATCCCATTGAAAGTGAAGCTGTAAATCCCATCTGAGGTGACGAATGTGCATCACTTGCAGATTGGGCAGTACATCATGTCCCTGCCTCTCCACCTGGAGCCCTTCGTGACGCAGGAAGACCCAGCACTGGAGCTCGCGCTGCGCACAGGGAAGCTGCCCTTCCCTCCAGAGCAGGGCAAGTGTCACAGAGATACTGGGCAGGCATTGTACTTGGCACACGCACATTCCTTGCCACGCTGCATTACGCTTAACCGGTCGTGCCACGTACAAAACTTTTTTGTCAATCCACTGTTCAATGAGTGCCTGCACCACGCCGTGTGGGCCGTGGGTTTTTTTTTAACCATATTTCACCTCGCTGGTAAGTGTAGCTTTGTGAACTTGGGTAGTGTAGAGGTCTAGTAGTACATGGATGGATTTTTCTGCACTGTCCTCTGCTGCTCACCATATAGACCACACATGGTCCATGCCATGGCAGGACCTATACAAACCATGTAATTTTTTTACATGGTTACATTGGACATGTGCACAAGTGTATTATAATGTCCACGAATAATCTTGGTGCTGTGTATTTAAAGTGTTTTAGATTATGGATATTGAATGCTTATTGTGTTGCATTGTACATTTGTATTGTAATTGGTAGTTGTGCTTATGTGTGGGCATTTGGTTCAAATGTTAATCCACTATGCATGAAATTTGAAATGTAATGCCATGTAAAGTGGAGTAAAAATATGAGTTTGTTAAAGGAAAACAGTACATTAAAACCTTGGATTGCGAGCATAAATCGTTCCGGAAACGTGTTTGTAATCCAAAGCACTCGTATATCAGTTGTGATCACTTGACGCTCGGCAGACAAAGCGTATACACGTACTACTCGTATTGCAAGACCTCACTCGTTTATCAAATTAATATTTAGTTAAAAAATTTGCTCGTCTTGCAAAACACTCGCAGACCACGTTACTCGCAATCCAAGGTTTTACTGTATTCATATTTTCAGATTGGTCAGGTAGCATTACAGTTGTTCATTTCTGTAAACATCTCCACACTCAAACAAGCAATTAGGCGGCACTTATCTCCATCGGGTGCCCTGAACGAGTGGTGGGAAATTCCATATCCCTATGACAAGGAGATCACTCAACGCAAAGGACGACTTTTTAATGTATTGAACCCAGATGTATGTTTGACTTAATTCAGCCCCCGACCTCTATCTTGACTCGTAATCTTGAGTGAAGTCACTGTAACCTTTGTGTCACCTGGTCATGTAGATGGATCAGAGGACCACTGCTCAAAGCATTCACGCCTTCTGTGTTTTTTTTTCCTATTTGTATGTATGTATGTTGAACTTCTTTCGCACTGTACATAGCCAACAGTGCTAATCGTAGGTGCAGGAAATTTAAGGGAATGCCAGTGAATTGAAGTCATTGTTGAGTTTTTTTGGGGTGGAGGTTTTGTGCTTGAATCTCTGTGAGAGTATGTTGTGGAAGGCCAGCAAAACTGAAACATGTTTGGGGATTTTCACAGAGAGTTTGAGGAGGCGGCGGGGGTTGGGAGGGAGCTAAATCCTCGTTTCACCCTTAAACAAAATGGAATACGGTACTTGGCGTTAATAACCCACAGCTGTGCTGCCGCGCCAACCCTTGTGCAAATTTGCGTGTGTTTTTGTTGTTTGTATTGGGAATGCGCTGCGCATGCGGGAGAAGAAGCAATCCACCCTTGGTGGCTGGCTCTGCAGCCTGTGTTGGCACGGGCTGTGCTTTGACGCACAGATGCATTGCATTACAGCATTCCAAATTTCTAATGTTTTCTGCATTCCTGAAAATGACATAGTTTTTTTGTAAAGGGTTTATACACACACACTGAACGTTTACAATTCTCCATTTTCCCTCTCCTGCGGAATTGTATAATGAGTGCCGAGTCCCCCGACTGTTGTGGCGGAGACGGCTGCCAGGCTGGGCCGTGTTGAACATGTGCTGCCCGTGTTGTTGTACAGGTGAGGAGTCCCAGGAGCTGGACAACATGGCCGACTACTGGCTGGGTTCAGTGGCCCGAGCCACAATGCATATGTACGGAGAGATGATCCTGCAGATCAACCTGCTGTCCCCTCACTCCACCAAGCAGCTCGTCACCGACATAGGCAAGCGACTCGCGGCAGAAGCACGGTTCACGAGCTTTATCCTTGTAAAAGTATGGGTTTGCTGTGATCTTACGATAATCCTTTACGGAATTGATTGTCGATTTTTTTAGAAAAGCAAGTTTTTATGATTATTATTATTATATAAAGGTATGAAAATGACATTCGACTTAAATTAATTGTTGGCATCGGTTGAACCGATTGGCGTGCCCCGTTCAAACCGCACGGTGCATTCCAATGTGATTGGTCGAGTGGCAGCGATCGTAAGGCATCGGCGTCAGGTCTCTAGGGTCAACGAGCGGTCCGTTCAATTGTTTTTTTGCTTGTTTATCATCGATAACAGCGAAAAAATGCCATTAACCCGACGGTGGGAAAACGAGCAGCTTCTGCGGTAAAGTGGTCGGAAGACGTTTTCCTTGCTCGAATGGGCATGGCGAGGTGCTCACCACCACCATTGGCACCTTCCCACAATGTCATTGACTCACCAGAAAATAGTGGAAACTGGTAGTAAATTGTGTGTCATGGTGTGTGAAGACGGTTATTTGCAACCATGTTTTAATGACCCTTTATGCACTCAATTTTAAATAAAATGAGCAAGAATATTTATAAATGCTAAACTCAATACCTAGGATATCAGTAAAAATCAACACTGCAGTAATTGAAAAATTTCATCGTAATTTCAGAATGCGTATTACATTTTTATTCAATTAAAATTAGCCTCATTGACTGAGTTTCTCCCTTAGATAAAGCATACTTTCGAAAAAAACCAAGGTCATGGAAAATCAATGCAAGTAACATTAAATGCAAATGATAAGCTTGTATCCTGGGATATTACATCATCCACTTTTAGTAGTCGGATTATTTTCCAGGCAAGACTTGGATTTTGGTGATCGATTAACCGTCAGAAGACTGCAAATTCAATTCTCCTTTAGTGATGTACACAGTCTTTTAAAATGAATGCCACCATCGTGGGAATTCATCAGTGGTTGTGCTATGGAGAGACTGGCCCCCCATTGTGGTTGTAACGGCTGTGGCGTATATAAGCATCGGGGGCAAATTTGGTCCAGTGCGTGGGAACAAAAAACTACGACGTTTCAATCGCAGCACAAGCGTTTGTCATCAGGTGACGAATGCTTGTGTTGCGATCGAAACGTCGTAGTTTTTTTGGTATTTTTTGTTATTTTCTTTGAACCTATCTACGTGACTTTACCGAAAGACCCAAGAATATGAATTCCTGCAGTCACGAAAGCTTTAACTCAAGATTTGTTGGCAGGAATGATCAGCTGTTTACATTTGACATTAATAGATTTACATTCAAATTTAAGTGACCCTAGCCATACCCACGTAGATAGTTCTACGTGGTTCTTTCGGTAAAGTCACGTGACTTTATCGAAAGAACCAAGAATATGAATTCCTGCAGTCACGAACGTTTTAAGTCTGAGGGGTGGTAATTTCACATTTCCTATGTGGATTCCAGTCTCTTGCAAATGAGCCCCATGCTCACTTGAGCAGGAAGTTACTTTGCTTTTCTTCTTGTGTATTCTCTACATACAAGGAAATGTTATCCCTTGAGTGGGTCAGTCCGTCCGTCACTTGAGTTGTTTTTGAGTCGATCGAGTCAGGCTCGTTCTGGCCGCAAGGAACCAGGGGCTTAGTGTATCGATGATGAGCCCCAAACAAACCTTTTATTTCTCATCTGTCTTCCCTCTCCTCTTTAATTTGCTTCGTTGAGATTTAGCAATGATTTGATAAAACAAATACATTTGGAGGTAACAGATGGGGGGGACCAATGCTGTCCTTTGGGGTGTGTGGGTGGGTAGGGAATTACATTGAGGAATGTCTGGTTGAAGTACATTTAGTAAATCTGCACAAGTGCCATCACAATGCATAAACGCAACGCTTCCAATCCACTGACGCTCCCTCTCCCACCTGCCCAACCCCCTGCAGACTACTTGGTGAACGTGATGGATGCCATCGGACTGCAGCCGTCGCGAGCCTTGCAGCAAATCCTGACGCTGCTGAAGGCCCGCGCCGAAGATTTCCGGCAGGCCGCCAAGTCTGTCCCTCGCCGTATGGCCAGTTCCGTGGCCGCCATGAGGGCCATTGACTACTGAACCTGGGGCAACGGCTCTGTGGCCCGCGGTGTTGATTAGCCGGTGGCCCGCAGCAAAGAGGGAACACATCTTTTTTCAGAGTGAACGTTTCCCACAATAATATGGAAATTACGTTTTTTAAGCAGGGTAGGATGTGTCGTGGAGCGCAGTGTCGGGAATTCCAAATGGGATTGTGAGCAACCTCTGATGTGCATCGCGAGAGGGAGTTGTTAGAATTGTGCATGTACAGCCCTTTAGCCAGTCCACTCCTAGATGAGAGCCCCACCCCCTCCCGATGCTGTGTGGATCGTGGGAATTATTTGACTATGGCTATTGGTTGGCGTAGGCGTGGAGCATGACCATGGAAGCAGTACAGTTCAATTTATTTTCCGTGCTGCCCTCTGCTGCCCACAACCCCGAAGCCTATAACACCTGTTAAGCGCTATCCAGGCTCCAGCCTGCTTCGCTTCCAAGATCTGATGAGACAGGTTGCATTCTTGGTGATTTAGTCATTAGTGTTGTGAGGATAGGTATACCAAATTTGTAGGTAACGGTCCTAGAGTCTGATCAAAGTTCGATCTGTAATTTTAAAGTTGTCTTTTGAGAGCAACTAATGTTCCAAATGTGTACAAAGTGCAATTATTGTGTGAGAAAAGCTAATTTTTTGGTTGTTGGTAACATCAGTACATTTTTAGTACAATATTCTCAACGTTACCTAAAAATCACCATAATGCAGTTTACTGCATGCTGTATGTACACACGTAACTTTATGAAGTATTAAATAATATAATCTGTACGCTTATGGAAACGCCCCAGTGAAATGTGGAGAAGATAGATCGGAAGCTTGGCGTGTAGTTATTTCTAAAATTCCGCTTGGGAAACTTGAGCTGGCGCATGGCAAAACATGAAGAAAATTACTGCTGTATATTTCAAATGATGGGTTTGACAAAACGAATCGGTGCAGGAACCAATTAAATGTGTTGATGTGTAAACAGTTTGGTCTGGGGCACATGTTGAACTTGTATTTTTGTACAGCGGTTAAGCAGATTGAATACATTTGGTTTGCAAAGACAACTGATAAAACACATGACTGGCGTGGTTTTTTTTCAGTAACCCTTTAAATAATGAGTGTAGTTTGGCATTGTTTCTGCTATTGCCTGTGAGGGCATTGCCAAGGCATGAAAGCACCTGAGCAAAGTCATTATTTTAAAGTGGGCAATGCATCCCACCAGCAAGAAGCTATTAGGCAGGTTGCCCAACTTCATGTTCAGCACAACGTGTCTGTTGTAAACAGCAACAGTTGATGTGTGGATCAAATTCGTAGCGTCTCGAGGCTCAAAACAACCATGGAATGGTATTCATTTCTCTTCTGCGCCAGTGGAGAAATTCCACACCTTACGGTCGGGTGTAGTTTCTCTGTATAATAACCATTGTTGACCTATCACAAATTGGTACTTATTTAACGACCCTGGGGGTATGATGAGCCGAGTCATCCCTTAGCTGGGAATTTAACTTGTGCGATTGCAAGTTCTGTCGAACTGGGCCGATTAGCCAATTTAAATAAAGTAATTGGCGGCTTAAATTGTGGTCGACTACTTGAGCATCCTGAAAATGAGAATGCGGGAAACCCCCATACAGGCCACGCCTAGCGTGACGCAGATCATCACCTCGTCCAGGGCACACGTGGGAAGAGGGGGTGAGACTTGTTACAAGTATTTTAATGTTATATCCCATCAGCTGAGTAATCAAAATCAACTATCCGTAGAATCAGATAACCCCAGATCTCGGCTTGAGCGCTTTGACAGTGCCACTGGCCTGACTTTAATGGGCATAAATTGTACCGTATTTATTGTAATACCACCCTTTTCATGGAGCGCTCCTCTGATTCAGACCTGCTAATTGCCATATCCTCTGAAATCTTGCCAAAGAGAAAAATGCAGTGACCAATAAAAATGTCCATGCTCAGACGAGCGATAGGCAGTTTCCATCTCTTTTTGGTAGTCCTGACCCAGTTACAGAAATCCCAAATTCCTATGCTGATGCCTTGTCTCCCCATCGGTTATACTCTTGACTGTTATAATCTTGATTTAAAGCGTTCGTGACTGCAGGAATCCATACTCTTTGGTTCTTTCGGTAAAGTCACGTAGGTATCAAATAAAATCAATCACGACGTTTCGGGCGCAACACCTGATGATGGACGCTTGTGTTGCGCCCAAAACGTGATTTATTTGATTTTATACCTACGTGACTTAACCGAAAGAACCAAAGAGTATACTGTTATAACTTCCTGTAAAATGTAGTACTCACTTTATTAACCCCGGAGACCATGGTGGAAGAGTTGACCCTTGGTGAACTTGCAACCTTTCTTTTGTGAGTCGAGCACATGGCCACAGTAAGGTAGATTTACTGAACCCAGAGGGCAAATGTATCATAAGTATAATAGATTTGTGCTTTTTAATGTTAATTCAAGGTAATAAATTGCATTATTACCAATGACGTTTAAAAAAAAAAGTCTTTACAACCTTTTACTATGAGAACATTACATTAATCTGTGTGCACATTCATCCGCTTATCATTTTATCAGTTTTGCTCAATGCTTTATTATGATATCCAAACGACCAATTTAAAGTTGATCAATTAAAGAGGCGTATCATTGCAATGGATTTCTGGAATTGTGATGAGATGCAGGTTATGTTGTCATGCCGTAAAGGTCAGAAAGACCTTTGGTAAAATATATATCGTTGACGTTTTCATTTTGTCGGTAAACAATAGCAACGCAGCAACGTGATTGCGGCACAGTCTGGTAAGGGAACGGCTAGACTCCCTGTTCCGTTTAGCGGTCGCCAGGACTCCTTTAAAAATGCTTCGCGTCAAAGTGACTTTCAGCACCACCATCCCTTTGAAAGCTCAAACCCATATGTCCCATGCCGTGCATGGCCTGGTGCCAGTGTCACAGCAATGCCAGGCTGAGTAGAATCTTAAACGAGCCACATGCTCGCAAACTTGCATTGTTACAGTGTCGGCTGTAGCCACTGGCTTAATTACATTTTCACCGTGATGTGTGGCAGTGTATTTGCAGGGGTGTAGCTGTATTAAAACCAACAAAAATCGCAGACAGTACTTTAAAAGGTAAAGGTGCAGCCCTGCAATTAATCGCTTATGCCACCACTGGTGGAAATGCCTCTCTATAATGTGCAGGAAACGTAAATGTATTTAGCAAAAAGAAAAGTGAAGATTCATTTACACGCATGTATATTTTAGTAAGTGCATTAAATATTTACAATTAGGCTCCCACAGTAATATTCATTCTGTTCTCGCCATAAAGTTATGATTACATATTTTTTCCTTTTTTCTCTGCATATTTAAATATTTTTCTAAATCAAGTTGTCTCTGAAATCACCATGCAGAATTTACCTGAAGGTGTATTTTGTTCCTGTCATCCGATGACTAAGGCACCCTACGAGAGCATGAAAAAAGGAAGAAAAATCATGAATATGCATGGCTCCAGTTTGTCTGAAAGTTTGAGGTGACCCTTTCATTAATTTCGCCGGTTTTAAATAGCGCAAGTCATTAATAGCGACAACTTTATACCAAAGTTTAATGTATATTGGATCATCTCTTCGAGAATTATCGCGCCCCCCCCCCCCCCGCCACCACGTTACTAGACGGGCGCATTAACGCTTTGGACCGTAGTCATAAAGCTTGGACGAAAACGGAACAAAGGGCTCCGTCTGTCCTGTTTCGACCCTCACCGGGTCTAACAGTGACGAATAAGGCTTTTAAACTGTCTCACAATTTGGCATTGATAAACAGGAAGGAAACAACACTGGGCCACAAGAAGAGGAATCACATGCCACATGGTGAGCCGTTTCCTCGACGTGGTGGGAATGCGTGCGGCATGCCAGAAATAGATCGTCATCACGGTTTCCTGGAAAATCACTCTGCCACAATTCGGTATGCAGACGCCAGGCAACGCACACCGGACGCGGGTACGTTAGTACACCTCGTGAACACTTCAGGTTACAAGGAAATTGACTTGACATTTTCCATTAAAATCCGTTTTTATAAACTGTTGTCAACTGCTAATATCCGTCCATTTGGCGCGATAGCGGGAGCAAGGCCGGATTAACGCAGAGGTTTTAGGGGCTCGGATTGAGGCCCCCAGCCCCCCCAAATACATAGACTTCTTTATAATGGTTGAAACACAATTCAGTAGCACTGATAATACCATAGGAAATGTGGTAAAGCCATAGCGTCACTGTATTACTTCTATCAGTTGTGGGCCTTACTTAAAAATAATTTTACTTAAATTTAGTTTGACAAGATATCATATTTAAAAACTATAACTGAAATAACCAAGGTGAGTCACTGCGGAGTATTTGGCATTGAGCCGTGGGTGGTGGTGAATATGGAGACTATCAAAATAAACTTAACTATGTTGCTCTTTTCAAAGCTACTGGCCGAAAATGATAGCCCAACGAAGTGGCTTATGCGAAAATTTATAGCAGCCAAATACTCTAAATGCGTGATGTTGATTCTTAATGTGGAGGGAAAACCCGGAGGACCCGGAGAAAAATCCACGCGACCACAAGGAGATAGAGAGAGGGACTGCAAACCCCAACTATACAGCAGGCGTCAGGGTCGGGATTGAACCCATGACCTGTATACCAGGCGAGGTAGTTAACATCTCACCACCGTGGCACCCTTCATGTAAAGAGCCCCCCCAAAAAAAACACTAACGGCCTTGAGCCGCCATCAAACGTAATCTAGCCCTGGGTGTGAGTACTCAATTCGTCATGAGAAAATTGTGAGTTACATTCTTACTGGCGAGTACACTGCTCAAAATCAACCATCCTGTTAAACAAAGACTGCGATGGTACTGCCCCTCGCCGTCAGAATGTGGCATCTCCAGTACCAGTGTTGTGTACGGTGTTAACACCTAAGGGGCCGTCCATAAATGACGTCACGCGATTTTTGACGATTTTTAACCCCCCCTCGTCACAAAACCCTCAAATATGACGTCACAAAGCTCTGCCCCCTCCCCCCCAAAAAAATAAAACATGCTTCAAATCGCTTTAAACTATTGTCATTGTAGTGCGTATTTAATGTGGCGCTGCACTATGATGTTGTAGGAGAAAATATTTATTAAGAAGTCTATTTAATTAAGTAGAACGTGTTTATATTCATTTTAAGTTGCGCATTTTGATGTGACGTCACATTATCACCCCCCCCCCCCCTCGTCACAAATCGTCACAAATATCTGAACCCCTCCCCCCCCAGGTGCGTGACGTCATTTATGGACGGCCCCATAACGCTCATTTGAGCATGGAAATTTGGTTTGATTGAAACAATCCTGTCACTACTGTAGCCACGACCCCGTGTCGAACTCGGAGGGTGCAGTGCTCGCCTCTGCGCTGCGGTTGACCTTAACCTCGTTGGCGAGTGATGTCTGACCCAGTCTTGGGTCTGTCCTTCACCAAGATGCACTGGCCAGTGTGTGCTGAAGACAAACAAATCTAATGACCGACACAGCATGGGAAGGACTTCATCCATCATTAGATTGACGAAAGAACTGTCAATTACCATTGCAATTATTTGGATGCACATTTCACATGTGTAAGTAATATGTATATATAAAACACACGGTTATATGCACAGTACTACAACGTAAGAAAATTACCGTCATGTTATGATAAATAATGTGTCATTGCAACAACACTTTTAATAATTCAAGGGCTATTTTAGGTGGCGCATTAACATTCTAACACCACAGGCTATGTTTTTGGCTAGTCACAGGCGGTACAGTTTATCCTGAACTAATATTTCCTTGAGACATATGTGTGCGGTTTCAATTAAATTGTCATCATGCGTATAACAGATGTACTGTACTCTGAAAAGCCTGCCTTGGCTACTCGAGTAAGACTTTCATTTAAACAAATACATGTTATCATATTCTATATGGTTCACATTTTATATAGAACAAGTTGTAGTGTTGTGCAGTCTTGTTCAGTCCAGATATAAATACAAGATCAGAATAAAAACATCGCCATCATTGTCATTAAGACTGCCTTACG